AAATTAGAATTTTGAAGAACATAAAAGTCTTTAAAACACACTTAAAATGTCGGGAAAGCTCATTCCCGCCATCTACGAATTAAAATTTTCCCGGGGGAGAACCCCCGGATCACCCTTTTTTTTGGGATTTATCGATTCATGGAAAAAAAGAATACGCATGCAACTACTCATTTATTTATGTATGTATACACACATAAAATAAAAAATAAGAAAAATTTACCTGACCATTTTCACGAGGGGAAAACCTTGAATTTTTAAGAACTTAAAAAGTCATTTAAAAGACATTTCAGAAGTCAGGGAAGGTCATTTCCCGCATTCTAGAAATCGAAATTTTCCCGGGGAAACCCGGACCCCCTTTTTCTTTGGGGTTCATTGGTTCATTGAATCATTTTCAAGAGGGGGAATCCTTGATTTTTGAAGAAATTGGAAGTAATTAAAAGACACCCCAGAAGTCGGGAAAGCTCATTTCCCCCTTCTAGGAATAAAAATTTTCCCGGGGGAGAACCCCCGACCCCCTTTCTTTTTGGGATTTTGGGAAAAATTACCTGACCGTTTTCAAGAGAGGGAACCTTGAATTTTGAAGAACTTAAATTAAAATCGCTATAAGATACTTCAGAAGTCGGGAAAGTTCATTTCCCGCCATTTAGAAATTAACATTTTCCCGGGAAGAACCCGAACCTCCCTTTTCTCTTTGGGTTCATTGATTCATTATAATAATTTTCAAGAGAGGAAAACCTTGAATTTGACGAACATAAAAGTAGTTAAAAGACACCTCAGAAGTCGGGAAAGCTCATTTCCCGCCTTCTAGGAATCAAATTTTTTCCCTGTGGAGAACCCCAGACCCCCCTTTCTTTTTGGGATTTCCGGACTCAATTTTTTAAATATACACACATAAGGCCTCTCTACTGAAATAACAATGAGATAAATTTACCTGACCGTTTTCAAGAGAGGAAAACCTTAAATTTTAAAGAACTTAAAAGTAATTAAGACACCTCAGAAGTCGGGAAAACTCATTTCCCGCCTTCTAGGAATCTAAATTTTCCCGGGGGAGAACCCCCCATCCCCCTTTCTTTTTGAAATTTATGGATTCATGGAAAAAAATCGTAAGCAACTACTCATTTTTTTTTTATGTATGTATACACACATAAAGCCTATCTACTGTAATAACAATGCGATAAATTTACCTGACCGTTTTCAAGAGGGGAAAACCTTGAATTTTAAAGAACTTAAAAGTAATTAAAAGACACCTCAGAAGTCGGGAAAACTCATTTCCCGCCTTCTAGGAATCAAAATGTTCACGGGGGAAACTCCCAAAACCCCCTTTCTTTTTTGGGATTTATGGATTCATGGAAAAAAAATCGTATGCAACTACTCATTTTTGTTTATGTATGTACACACATAAGGCCTACCGTATCTACTGTAATAACAGGGATAAATTTACCTGACTGTTTTCAAGAGGGGAAAACCTTGAATTTTGGAGAACTTAAAAGTAATTAAAAGACACCTCAGAAGTCGGGAAAACGCATTTCCCGCCTTCTAGGAATCAAAATTTTCCAGGGGGAAGGACCCCCGGACCCTCCCTTTTCTTTGGAGCTTATGCAACTACTAATTTTTTAAAATTTTTATGTAGGCCTATGTATACACACATAAAGCCTATTTCCTGTAATAACAATGGGAAAAAAATACCTGACCGTTTTCAAGAGGGGAAAACCTTGAAATTTGAAGAACTTACAAGTAATTAAGATACCTCAGAACCCCGGGACCTCTGCTCCTTTTCTTTGGAGCTTATCGATTCATTGCAAAAGGAATACGTATGCAACAACTAATTTTTTTTATGTATGTATACACACATAACAGGCCTATTTACTGTAATAAGAATGAGAAAGTTTGCCTGACCGTTTTCAAGAGGGGAAACCTTGAATTTTGAAGAACAAAGTCATTAGAAACCTAGCTCAAAAGTCGAGAAAGGTCATCTCCCGCCATCTAGAAATCAAAATTTTCCCGGGGAGGACCCCCAGATCCCCTTTCCTTTTTGTAAAAATATAGACAATAAATCTAGTAATAGGCCTATTTCATGCCAGCTAAATCTCTTTTTTATATTATAATGTCCTGTATTTATCAAATACATTTGCTAGTTGCCTTTTAAGTATTCATGAAGATTAATTCAGTGTTAAAGACGAAGTAGACTTATCCTTTTTTATTAGGTTTTACGCTTATAAGCTAAATTCACCCACAATAAGTGTGAAACTGTGAATTAGAGAGTTATGATACTACAATTTTAACATCGAGATTTATGGTCCGACTTAATAATGAGTGCAGTGGGCTTTTGATGTCCATGAATGAATAATTTGGAGAAGTAGTTTTGGTGATATTCCTACAATCACTAATAGGCCTATCATATAATAGGCCTCCTACAGTATTAATTATAATTAGCTGCATAAGTAGGCCTAGTGGCTATTTTTACACCAGCTACTAGAAATGTCAGGCTCCGGAGGAAAAACACATAGGAGCCTATGTTGTACAGCTGATTTTTCTAAGACACGAACAGCATAGGCCTATTTGTCGACGAAAAACTCGAGAACGGTTTATAATGAGATAGAGCCTTTTTTGAGTAGAAACTGGGGAAAAGGGACTAACATTTTATATTTTAAATATTAAATTATCAAATATAAAATCCTAACTGATTGGATGTCATTGTCGTTGTCCATCCAATCTATAGGCCTCCATACTATACCTAAATTAAATAGGTATAAATAATCACTGCATTTATACTATGACAACTATATACATAGGCCTATAGTTGTTTCAGATTTATAGAAGGCTGAGCAAGGTACAGTACTGTACATCTGGAAAATATAAGTAGAGCGCCGCGTAGCGATATATTGAAGTTTAAGAAAGTGAAGTGGTCTGTTTACACTTTTTTATAGGTGACCGATTGTCGTCTGTTATCAGTTCATTTGCTGCTGCCAGTCGGTTCAGCAGTAAGTTAGAACAGCTGATTGAAAGCTGACGGCCTAAGAAGTATACGTTTAGCAGTCCTTTTATAACAATGCTGCTAAAAACGGCAGTTTTGGTCTGCATTATATTTTATATAACTGTGCCTGTCACACAAGCCGACAATGAGAGGTAAGATTTTGTGTTGTATTTGTGGTTTTTGAGTATGGACTTAGTTGAGAAGTTCAGAACAATTTAGGTGGTCTAGGACTGCCTTAATTGTTACCATCCTTACTGAGCATTCGAGTGTGGCAGGGCAGCTTGCGTAGAGCATGGGGTTGGTGAGTTCTCAGACTTATAATAACCTTTGTTGTGTGATGTATACATAAATGATTTACCTGTGAATGGAGGTCTTATATATACACCAGTCGTGAAACCATGAAAAAGAAAGGAATTTAATCATTGACTTCAGGGGTGGCACTGGGGAGGGGGAGGGGGAAGTTCCCTGTTGCGTAGAACACAATTGTCGGAGAGAAGAAAAATTAATATATGTATTTTTTAACATATTAGTACACACAAATAGATATTTAAGCATTTGAATCGATATAAGTAATTTCATGCAATCACTCTCCCCCCTGGTCACTTTTGAAAGATTTTGAGTGACGCTTACCACACCCACTTACGTCTCCTCTGGAAGAGATGTCTGAAACGGGGTGGGAGCGCAATCAAGAGACAAACACTACTCCGCAAAATGTTTGTTTTCTAGGCACCCGAAAATGACCTCCGAGGCATTTTCGGCGATCAATAATTTTTTTCCCCTTTTTTTCTTTCCAAAAGGGAGGGGGGATGGGGCCAGCTTTTCCCTACCCACTAAATCCGCCCCTGGTCGGGGACAGCCCATGTCAGCAGTCATAATATTCTTTTTATTTGAATCGGATTTCAGATCTTCTTATTTACATTTAAATTTGATTTCAGTTTTTTTTTCTACCTTGTAATGTATACCAGGAATTTTTTTTTTTTTAATTTAGAAATTGTATACTAAATCCTTAATTTTAAAATTTAGGATTTTATGAGTCTACTAAATTTGATACAAGCATAAAATCACATGAATACATTGGCTTAACTCACCTTGAACTTTCTCAGTGCACTGTCTCAATGACCCAGACTGAATTTATAATTTTTTTAATGCACAGAATATCATGCCTGGCCAGGGATGATCGGACCCCTATCGGGGACATCAGACCCCCTCTCTGGCAAGTCCTGATGCTGTACCCCTAATTGACTTGCTCATTTAAAAGTAATGAAACAATTTATTTTTACTGATTTTATTTACAGATTTCTAATTCTTAAATTACCTTCTAAAAATTCTGGGCAATTCAACTCTATTTTTTTAGTGCCACTTGAATGAAAATACAGGTATCCCTCTAATTAAAGACCACTTTTGGGATCAGGGTTTCCATGGTCCTTAGCAGCTTTGGTCTCTCATTAGAATTTAAAGATAAAAGACATTTGTTAATTTGGGACCACAGAAAAGTGGTCTTTAATTGGAGGGGTCTTTAATTGGAATTACAAGGAGACCTGTATTACATCTGCTTATGTCCATTCAACAGGTTGGCAAATCAAAAAACAAAACATTTTTCAATTTTCTTGGTTTTTTGGCTGAATGAAAAAAATGAGGCAAGCCAGAAAAATTGATGCATGGTTTCATTTTAATGTATTTGGCAAGAAACTATTAAAGAAAGGATGCTCACAAGTGACAAGATAAAGTGGTTTCAAATGAAGTAGGACTGATTGCAGCTGTAGGAAATTTCTACTAAACTACAGAAGTATTATCCAGTAAATAATATTATAATGATATTATAATAAATAAAATATCCATTAAAAATTTGCAATTTAGGAATTTGTTTAAGTCTGCAAACAACAGATAAACAGAAAAATAGTTTTATTATAATATCTATTTCAGGACTTTGTTTTATCTATCTTATTTTTCTAGAATTGAATGTATTTTCTTTTGGAAATAGAAACAGGGCCTATCTCATTTTTTCTGTCAATCAAAGAAAGTATGTTTTATCAACGGATAGAGCACAGTGCAGAATGGAGACTGTATAAATATCCTAATCTCATTACGATAATACTTTATTTGTTTTATTAACTCTTTAAAGCTTAAGCTTATAATTCTAAAAGCTCCATGCTTTTTGCCTTGTTTTCCTGATGGATTTAATGTATAATTAATAAACCTTGTGTGACAGACCTTCAGATTAACACAGTGGTGAGTGGAAATTAAAAGAAATCTAAACAAGATCTAATGGGGAGCCTTGTACTGAGTATGATTTGTGTTTACCTATGAATCATTTCATTTGTTTTACATTCCAAATTTTCAAGGAGAAGATAGGAGAGCCTAACCAAGATCAACAGGATTATCCATCTTACCCCAATGCTCCATTACTCAATGGCATATCTAGGAATCTTGAAATTGGGGTGGGGGGTGTTGGGCAAGCTTTTTGGGGAGGGCATGCGTCCCCGCACACCCTAGATACGCCTCTGCCCATATTGTAAATGTTCTACGAATGTCATTTTACTAATTGTTGCGCAATATGGTGATACAGTGTACATACAAGTTGAATTAGCTTTTTGCATACAAAAGCAAAGAAAAAGGTCAAGCAAACCATGCACTAATACAAAATTAGTGCATGATTGGCAATAGAAAAAAAACATTGGGAGTTACATTGATGACATCACGATTGACTTAAATAGTAATTATTATGTATCTTATAAGTCTTATATAGCCACGGCTACTATAGTTTGATGATTTGAACACAGCAATACTGTACTAGAATTTCATTACAGAAACCCTAAATCACAAGGCCTCAAAATGTGTTTATTATACATCACACATCACTGTATGTCTTACTAAAAGAATTTATAAACAATAGTTTAGATATGTAACTTATTCACAATATTCCTGGATGTATAATTTGAGAGAATATCTCATATCATTGTTATCTCTGCCAAAGGAGGTTGTATTCATCGCTGTCTGTCTGTTGGAAAGAATGTATCATCATAAAATTTAGTTTAAAAATGGTTAAATTTTGGAAAGAAAAAGGCAAACGACAAGGTCACAGAAATCAGAAGTTCTATTTTTTCCCCCGAGAATAAAAGAAAATTATGGAATGGCCCATCATACACAATCTGTGTATTGTTTGGTATGCAGGCACAGGGGGAAATAATTCAATCACCCATCATATACATAGCCTGCTCTAGTTATTGCAGTTTTTTGTTATTGTTTTTATTTATTGTCTATATTTTTTCATTTCCATTGATGTGATAGTGTAGTAAAATATTATGTGATAAAGTGGTGGTGATGATAATGTGAGCATTGAACAACAAAACAATCGTAGACACAATAATATGTTCAAGGAAATAAAGTATCTACAGTATTTACTAAAACACATTTTAATGTAAATTATTATTTTAATTTTCCCATTAGTTCAAGAGAAAGCAAGTATCTAATCATGGCTCCGAAGGTGATGGTAGCAGAAACAACAGAATCTGTTTGTATTCAGCTAATGAATATGACTGGGCCCATCTATATCTCAGTGAAACTGATGGATGGCGATTTGGAGTTGAAAAGAATTCCCCTCTACTTCATGGAATTTCCATTTGCCTGTTTACAAATTGAGGTAAACCAAATTTGACTTCTCAGTTTCAATTCGAGTTTTTTCATTTAACGTTTGTGTTGAGAAGGTCGTTGCAGCACTGGCTACAGGGGTGTATCTAGGAAGCTTGAAATAGGGGGGGGGGAGAGAGACGCAAAGGAGAAGTGGGGGTTCGATCATTAAGTGAGGGGATAGCTTGCAAAATAAGGTGATATAATTTTTACCTACTAAACTGATTTGTTTATATATATTTCCAGTGGGGGCACTGGAGGAAGCAAGTTTTATAGGGGGCCCTACACCCTCCCCTATATACGCCACTGATTGGCGAGCGACCACATTGAAGAACCCATTACATCTTTCGAAAGAGTAGGTTACCCTGATGCTATGGTAAATTTCAGCCCCTGTTGTTGCAGGGTTGAAGCTGTAGGAAACTAAGGGTGGGTGTGTGCAGATAATTGTTATACTCTATAATAGTGGTGGATTTTAAGGATGAGCAAGGTGTTAATAAAGTTGGGTGGAAGGCCATGAAATTTGCTTTAGAGTGCGTGGAAAACTTCAAAGCTGGATGGACCCACCCTATTCCGCTCAAGCTACATCCCTGTTGCCCTTGAATGATGTGAACGTGAAGCTATTATAAGCGTCCCTCTAGGTAGTCATGGACCATGTCTTCATGCAGTTCAGCACAAGAGGTGGGACACTATGGTTTATGACTGGTTTCCATAACAATTGCTGCACGCTATCTCCGACTCATTTAATGACGATGATTAGTTAGTTGAATCAGGGAGTATTCCTGATTGCGTCGGGGACATCTACGCAGTGCTAGGATTGCAATGAAAACGGTGTAGCGATTGTATGAAAACCAAGCTAAAATTCTCCAACCTTTACTATTACACCATTGAATTGAGGAATCGAATAGAACATTTTTTCCTGAATACAAAAATATCAATTTAAATCAATTTTTTGCAGGTGCCAAAGGTATCGAAAGTTGAGAGATTTGAAGCTACGCTGTCAGTAACCGCTTTTGATCATGATGACATAAGGCAATTGTTCAATACTAGCAAAAAGGTTCATGTTGATCCAAGAAATTCTAAGACATTCATTCAAACAGATAAACCAATTTATAAACCAGGCCAAGCAGGTAAGTTGTTTTATTATAACCATTAAAAAATTCATTGGAGTAATTTTAAACATTACATATTAACCATATTGCATATTTTTGTAGTCAGGTTAATATTATCAAAAATATTTTTATACAACTTTTGACTCACAGAATTCCTAATTCACCACATATTTTGAGGGTGAGCTAGTGCAGTGGTATGGTATCGGACTTGGGTGCAAGATGGACCGAGTTGGAGACCTGCCAATGCTGTACTTACAGGCATCCCTGGGTGAACCCGGTTTTCCACTTAGTGAATTTATTTGCATGAATTGAAAGTACACATACATACTGTACACATGCAAAGTTTCCTTTTGTTAGCTTATTTTGGTTCACTTTGGCAAATTTTGGAGTTTAAACAGAAAAATTATGAGCAGTCAATCAGAGTTCAAGAAAACATTTAATGGCAGCCATGAGCGTAGAATCGAATCAATAAATGTATGTGTGCGTATTGTTACGAGTCAAACTTTTTAAAAGTACAGTGAAATCATTACGCATTACATGGTGAAGTAGCCTATTCTAAAAGTGCTTGTCCACGGCAAGTAGTCCCAAAAATTCCTGTTGTCCAACCGTAAAAAAAACACTTGTCCCGGGCATCGGGCAAGTGGGTTTGCTCATGCCTGAAAACATTGTTTTTTAATGTTTCAATCATTTGTTTATACTTTAATATTTCACCAAATTCCACAATAATGTTCTGTTTAGTGGTGCATATTTCGTAATAACATGAAACTAAATGTTTATTTTTTTCACAGTTAAATTCCGTATTTTGACTCTTGATCAAAATCTACGACCTAAATTGGATATGGTGAGTTGTTAAAAAAAGCAATAGTCATATAATAATACTAATGATATAAGTATATATAAAAAATTAGTTTATCATTAAGAATACTGTGTGATAAAAAGTGATGCACTTAATTTCAGTCTTAGTTTTACTTGTTGACCAGTGACCAGGATCACCTAGGCCTGCCACGTTTAAGACTAGAATTTTAGCAATAAGTTTCCCCAAACCTATACCGCGTTCACACGTCTTAGGTCATGTGAACAACCAAATGAGCGATTTTTGTCGCAGGTGACCTACGACAAGCTCTCGATCGATGTAGCTTGCTCTCGATCTATGTGAACTTGCTTGCAAGTGGGTAGCCAGTGAGCTGTGACCTCTTTTGTGTGAAAGCCAATCAGATACAAGTAACTCTCCAGGTTCAAAGTAGTTAGCTTGTTTGTGCAAATATTCGCAGTTAAGAAGCTATTTTCAAAATCGTTGCGGTTTTGGCTGTTGTATGTTATCTTTCATTTAAATATCCCTAAATACCCTCCATGTCAACTTCAACTGGATCTGGCCCTCGGGCCTATTGGACCAAGGAAGAAATTAGTGACTTGATAGAGACTTGGGCAGAACCCGAGATTAGAATGTTAATGGAAGACAAGAAATCAAAGAAAAAGACAAAAATACATGAGAAAAAAAGTGCAGCTAGATTTTCGTTTGTGCCAGGCTACTCGCCGACGACGGCATGGCAAATCCAAACAAAGTTGGAGGACCTAAACTAAGAAAACAGTACAAACAGTTTTATATTGAGGAGGTGAATAAATTGGGATCTTAGCCCCCAAACAGGCTGCAGAATTGGGAACATCGGTGATCGCCCAAAAGTGTCAGGTGAGGACCGTTGGCAGATCGTCGATGCCACCTCTACCCAGGCCTAGGATCGGAAATCGCAGGCTTAACATGTCTAACCAATTGAAGATATGAATTTATTTGTGGTCGCCTCAAAGCGGCAGCGAACGTGGTTCGGCCATTTTTTTATCTAACAAAATCTCCCTCACGACCCAGCGCCTGAGTCGCTCGCGATCGATGGAGACATGTGAACGTGACTCTAGTGTTTGTTTATTGATTGTGGCTTGCTAAATTTCTTCAACACTGATTTTGGCTTTCATTGATTTTAAAGAGAATTCAATAATCCATTTTCTCTATGAATAAACACCATAAGGTTGTATCAGTATTTGCTTATCTAATTGCTAACTAGATAAGCTTGCCACAGCAATCTCTGTTAATACAATAATTCAATTGATAAGCTTCATAGCATTTTTCTTCATTAGCATGTCTGGACAATTGATTTGGAATCATTAAGTAGCTTAGGATTAGATATTTTGTTTATACCAGTTAGGCTCTAAAATTCTTCCAGAATTTTCTTTTAGATTAAGTACTCTCAAATACTAATACTAGCAATCTTTCTCATTTTCGCTTTGCCTCTTGCTTCATGGAAATTATGGAATTCTTCCTCTTATGAAATCTCCCTCTTAGCCACCCATTTCTATTTTGGCCATTTTTGGGAATCATTTACAAATGCATCTGCTGAGTATAAACGCCACCTATTTGCAGACAATCTTTTTGATCAAATTGGGTCGCATAAAGTAGGAAAAATCTTTGACAATTACTGTAAAACCTAGGCTTAGAAAGTTAGACAAAGTATTTATAAATCTATAACTACAGTACCAACCATAATCAATGTAAACTGAACTTTTATTGTAATTTTCTAAACCATTATTGTTAAAGGACTATCATAATTTGTATTAACTACAGTATTATTAACAGATGCGAAGTACAAAAAGTATCTCATTAGAGAGGGCGCACTTTATTGACTGTATAAAGTATACATAAAAGCGAGAGTATTCCAGTGGATGCGATCTACAACCTCTGAATTTGCCTTGTAACGATGAATTCGTCGAGAAAATGGTAATATTTTAAGAGAAATAGTCTGTATTTCTCATTTTTTTTATTCTTTTGCGTAAAACTAAAATTCATGGCAATATTTTTCAATGATTTATAATAATTGGAGTAATGCAAATGCATATTTTCTAAAAAAAGTCATTTTTAGTGAAATTTTGCCGGGAATGGGGCTTTAACATTGACAATGAGTAGTGAGAATTACTCCAATGAATAATTTATCATTGCAATTAAATGGAGGGTTCATTATAAACCAACAATTCCACCTTAATTACTCATCTGCTGCTGTTCCTTACTATATACTTAGCAATAAATGAGTGCACCACTTACTACAGTTAAGCCAATCCAAGTAGTGGAGCTGTAGTGTGGTGGCTCGCTTTCGAATCCCTAAAGCGTAGGTTCAAATCCTGTGTAACCAGGATTTTTTTTTCACATTACGAAAAAAGAGACTTGGATTGTACAGAATCACTTTACTTCCTGCAATTAGTGAGTCACTCACTATTAATACTTAAGTAAAAATAAATAAAGTTAAACAACTCTACACACTCTGCCTCATAAAGAGATGTGGTTGATAAAGCATCACTTCCCTCCTGTAATCATTTGGGGTCTGTCTCACGCTCTTGTGCTTAAGGACCAAAATCTTACACATAGTAATGCCTATATTAAAAAATATTAAGCTTACCCGTAGGTTCAGAATTTTCAAATTCTCATGCCTGCAAATTTTTCCAACTTGAATCTCTGATTATGTAAATTATTTTAAGGCTTAAATACAATGATTTTGCCACAAACAGCTAAAATCACAGCAGTTAGTAACTTGTTCATCTAAACTTCCTGTCAACGAAATGTTGTATCCCATATGACTCCCCACAATCTATGGCATACTGACATACTGTAAGGTACCGGTAGTATGAAACATACTCTGAAAAAAAGTGATAAGTACAAGCCAATGTGATTAAAATATTTCACACATTATTAATTGCTGTTCATCTGCAGGAATGATTGATGACTTACAGGAATAATTCTAGTTCAAACAGTAAAAACCCATTAACCTAGGATTGGAATGTGAATTGATAACAACATTGTGTAAATTTGGTATATTGATCAATATAGTCAGATTTCACATGGTCATTGAAAGTTTTTTTTTAAGTCATCATGCACAATTAGCCAATCAGGCTCCATATACCACTATTGTAAACCTTGGAAATGATCAGCCAATCAAATTTTATCTACAGAGTAGTGTATGTTTTTCTTCTAATCCAAGGGGCCAGGATAAAATTCTGCAATGCAAAGCTTTTTTGCCACAATGTTAAAAAGATCCTGCTATATTTGTACACGGTCAGGAGTGGATTCTTTTTTCTTCAAGGAATTGAGTAGGGAGAAAAAGAGGAAACATGTAGATTAAATATTGTGCTATGGTGGGTTTAGGAGGGGTAGAATAAAACAATGCTTGAAATGTACTTGAGAGTGCCTGGTGCACTGGCATCTATATCAAATTATTGCAAAACCCATGACATTGAATAAAGGACTTTCAACTGTACTTATTAATATTAAGTAGTCCTTGAGACTGAACTTTATTCAGTACTATAAAAAAAAATAACTGAACACATCTTAAAACATAATCCTTACTACAGTAGGTCAATTTTTCATTAAAAAAAAAAATCAAAATATGAGTGTTCGTGAATAAGTCTACTTGGGTAACCCAATGATGATTTAGTTTATGAAATGAAGCCTGGAAAGTTATAAGCTATGCCTTTGAATTTGATTTTCATCTGGTATAGCAATTCATTTTGGGTATTTACTATTAATTTGGTATATTTATTGGCATTGTCAGATGTTAGACCCTTAAAACTCATCGTCATTGCATGAACAGATTTTAAGACACAACAGTTAGCAGCACCAATCAGGGTCCATTAATAAATCCAGATTATTCAACCAATCAGAATGTTAGCTTAAAGTTGCTTGCTGTTTAATCCTAGGGTCCTGTCTGAAAATCCTATAAATACCCGGATATATTAACCTCCAAAACCAGGTCGATCATGACACTGAGACTTGCATTTTGGTTGTGCAAATAACTATTAGCCTAGCATATCTTCTTTTAACATTTTTTCTCCAGTTTATATTATAGGATAAATCACAAACAATGTCCAAGGAAGTGGTTGTGATTTTTTCATAGGGCGGTTTCCACATCAATCATTCAATGAGTGTTCACGAAAGCCACTTCATATCCTGGAAAAGGGTCAAGATGAAGGAAAAGTATAGTATAAGTATAGGAAAACCAGGTTTATACTAGCTTAGGGAAATTCCATTGTTGTTCATGGTTAATGACTGGTAGGATTTCAGCATGATTAAAAGCTTAAAACGCATCCAAACATCACAGGTTTCTTGTACATCCTATTGGTTTCCTCTTCTCATAATATTACCGGTAGTACCAGTAGTAGGCTTATCCTCAACATGACATTAGTTAAGGTTTCGCATCAGGGGTATTTCAAAACTTGATGCAAGATAAAATTGTAATTTTTCAAAACATCAAAAATGTGACAAAAGCCCACCCCATCAAATTCCATGTGACAAATTTTTGTGATGTGCCCATATATGGGCATGATGTCCTATTACACCCAAATTAAATATGAGCATAACATTTATTTTGTCACATAAAATAATAATAATTTGATAGTGTGGACAGAGCTTCGTGTTTTGTCACAAACGTTGCACATACAATATTTTTTTTTCTACACTGGTTTGATAGAAGGCAATGCTGCCGTACTTGGCTTAACACTCCTGACTTAATACAATCTCAGTGGTGCTCTGCATTCCTCATCATTCCCAAGTTGACTGTATTTCTTTTGAAACTTCTCTTTTTAATTGGTAATCTGCTCACTTTCGTTTTTAGATTAAAAGACCTTGTTTTACAAGTGAGTTTTTTGTGTGAAATCTAATTTACACAAATTTACTGATTGGCTACAGTACGTATTGTAGACTCGCGTCGTCCAATTAGGGTCCATGGAAATGATTTGTGATTTTTGTCATCAGATTTCATAGTGATTTTTCTTACAACTTTATTACTGATGCATCCCCCTCCCCCCCATTGCTGCAAATTAGTTCCACTTAGTGGGCTAAAATAATAAAAATGACCATTAAGTTTTCATTGGAATAGGGTTTAGTTTTTTTGCATTCTCAGGGCCTAACCAACCTATGCCTCTGATCTGTTCCATATGTCTACATCTAATTAGATCAGTTGATAATGATTGGCAAGAATGTATGCCTGGCTGTACATTTTAATCCAGTAGGAGGACCCTTGGACTGGAAGATATGTCTGTCTTGCACATTAAATATCATATTGTCATTGAATTTTTTTTTTCATTTTTTGCATGAAGATCGAGAAGGTGTATATTGAAGCTCCTAATGGCGTTCGCTTATCCCAGTGGATCAATGTAACAACGCAGGATGGATTGGTTGAGCTGGAGTTCCAATTGACTTCAGAACCACAGCTAGGAACATGGACAATCTTCACCCTTATTAATGGCTTGAAGACCACTCAGGAATTTGATGTAGATGAATATGGTATTTTAAACTTTTATTCTTTTTTAGTTACTAATAAATGACTACAATAAATTTATATAATTTTATAGTTTTGTCTAAGGTGCTGAAAATATGAGGAAAACAATTTCATTTTTTTTTTATAGATGTTCTAAAAGTTAAGTAAATGTTGCATATTTGATCAGTTTAAAAAGTTCGAAATATTTACAGCTGAATATATAAAACAGTAAAGGGAAACATTGTTCATCAATTTGTTTAAGTTCTTCCTAATTTGTTTTTATTAACTGTGAAGCATTGTATTTTAAATAAATGGGAATTGAACCATAGATATTTGAACAGACATCTTGACATGACATTGCATTTTTAAGACTGTAGGACATTTATTATATCCAGTAGCGGAATAAAGAGTGAGGGTGGGGGGGGGGAGTTGCTGGCCCGTGGCCCCACTAAAATTTTTCAAAATATTTGTTAAACTGGAGATAAAAAAAATATATAGGCCTATTCACAATTTTATGTCTGTGAAATGTCATTTCCGGCCATCTAAAGGTGCCATATTCAAAAATGTTCTTATCTCAGCCCTAACCATGGTAGGTCTGAGGTGGTATAGACTCAACTGTGAAAGTCCCTCCCTGGCCTCAATTTTCTGGATCCATATTATATCATTTATTCGTCATTAAAAACATTTAGAATAACAATGTACATCTAAAATCCCAAGATGGAATTGGTGACCGGGGCCCAAAAAGGGCCCCTAGTTTCAGAAATACACAGGCCCCCCCGACCCCATCGTTACGCCACTGATAGGATAGTCCTATGTGATTAGATAAAATGAATATTCTGTTAATTGTATCGAATGATAACATGTTTTCTCCTTGACTTTTGACACTCTTGGATAGGTAGGGCATTGGGGTGCAGATATATAAGTAGGACTGATTTGAATTGAGCCTATAAATAAATACTGATTAGAAACACATGTGTAGATTGAAACAAGCATCTCATGTATGTAGACACAGTATGTAGGCGTATAAAAAATTAATATGAGTAATTTAATGATATAACAGCGTTGAAATTCAGCTGTTCATTTATTCAGGTAAACAATTTCAACAGTCCATAAAAAATTAAAAGGACAAATAAAAATGCATAAATAAAAAATGATGAATGTTGCACAATTATACAAGAAAGGCCCCCACTCCACTCCACTCCTGCAACCGCAATAGCTAACAGTGGAAGAAGCTAATACTGGTGTAGCTTTTTTTAATCACACCTAAACTCAATCTGCATGTGTACTGCTAAATGTACAGTAATACATTTGCACAGATATCACTAAAGCAACCGATAACTACTACTACAGTTTGATTAATAACACTAACATTAAAAGATGGCATTTGAATTTATAAAGCAGTCAGAATAGTTCTTATTAATACACTAGAGGAAATTGTTATACGTACTTAGGTTAGATTAATTTATTCAAAGAATTCCTTTGGACCTTGCAGGCTCAGCTCAGGATTTTTTTTCATAAATTAATCTAACCTTCATTTAATAATTTCCACTAGTGTATGATATGCAACTATTCTAATTACATAATTTATACCAACAAGCTCAGCTTTTGAAAAAAGGTATGCAGAGCTAGTATGTGGTGATTCATACTGAATACTGTATCAGGGCTCGATTGAATACTAGTCTGTCTTACAATGTCTAGTAAAAACTCCTGTGGGCTAGTAAACCTTATTACTAGCCTGGTGGGCCAGTGATCAGTTATAAACTGTTGCTTCAAGTATACATGGCATTCATAATAGCAACTACACTTTTTCCAGGTCTGCCATTTATCTCAGAGCATGGAGACTTGGAGCATGTTATATAGCTTTCCCAGAACCTATGTTGTATGTTAGGATATTTCCAGACATTAAAGCTATTAGTGAGGAAGCATTAGAAAGGAAATACCCAGGGTATCCATGTTAACAAGGCAGTGTTCAATACAAAGATGCATTACCAAAACCTGATGTGTAACTCACCAAATACTCCCGCAATTCAGATGATTATTCCATGATTGTTGCTCATGTCACCCTGGCAGAAACATCCGATCTTCTTCAAAATCGCCACTGGGTTGTACATTGGAAATGTAGACACACTTTAAGAATCAAAGAAGAATGTTATATAACAGATGATTTATATGGAATGAAAATATTTATAATAATAATAGTGGTATTTGTAAGCACATCATGCGAAAAAGCCTGTATGCGCGGTGATTGAACTCTTTGAGTTTAAAATTTTTTAAAACGTAGATGTTATCCTATGAAACTAAAACCTACTCCTTAAACTGGTGATTATATATCACAGTATTCTTGTCATGGCTTTAAGATGTTTAAAAGGTACTGTTCCTGACTATTTAATTAACTTTTGTGATCCTATTGATGATTATCACAACATATACAAGAAGCAAATCTAAAAACACTTTGGTCTTGCCAAAATGGCAAAATGAATCTGCTAAAGAACTTTTAGATATTGTTCTGTTAAACTTTGGAATTACTTTACCATCAAATATTTGCAGTACTATATATTCTTTCACTTTAAAATATTTCAAAAATCTATTTTAAATTTGCTTTAGATTGTTCTTAATTCTTCATATAAGTTTTACTTTCATTTAATTTTATTTTGTATGATTTTTTAGTATTTGTTAACTGGACCCCATTGAAGAACAATGTCCCAAAATTGATTGGGTATCCAGAAAAATGTTAGATTTCTAACTAAATTATTTGAACTAGGTACTTTGAGATTGCAGGTTAAAATCCTAACCAAAACCTCCATTTATAATTTGATGGTACCTTTCTTTGTAGATATACCTATGGACAGCCTGTATTTGGAAATATATTTGCGGAGGTAACTGTTAAAAATGAAGTTACACATAATTATGAACGACAGAGGCCAACTACAAGATATTTGAAGGTATTGGATTATGAACATTATTATGTTTTTACAGGACAGAGAATAATTATAATGAATATTGTATTGAATAATGTAATATGTAATGATGACCATAATGGTGATTACAATAATGGTGATTACGACGATGATGATGAGGAAAATGATAAAGATGAAAATTATGATGACGACAATGATGATGAATACAAATATGATGTCGGAAATAGTAATGACGACGACAATGATGATAAAAATGACTGTGACTATGACAACGGCTGTGATTATGACAACATTGACATTGGTGGTGCCGACGATGATGATAGTAGTAAATATAATTATGTTGATGATGATGATGATGATGATGATAATGGAAATTTGCCTTTTAAAATGTCTTCGGTACAACAACAACAAAAAATGGGAAATTTGTGATGCCTCTAACTGTCAATTGTGGGGTTGGCACATTTTCTGGCCATGATAATGGTGGTAGCTATGAATTGTCCTATTTAAGTATCAAAACTTCATGTTCCCTGTTTACTGCTACCTGTCTGCTTTGTGCCATGAGGCACATAAGGCTGTGACACTCGTCCTCCAGGTTCTCTGTCCCTGGTTGCTGTTCAGACCAAATTCTATGTTGACCACCCTGCTTCTTCTCTTTCTTTGAGCAGAGTGCACCTCCATGATGGCTTAGGCCTACCTCTTCTTCTCCTGCCTTCTGGCTGCCATGTCATTGCTGCCATGTAGTTTCATCATGATCTCTGAATAGTTTGTGTCCTATAAGTGTCAACCACTTTTTTTGTACTGTGTTACTCTGTCTCTGCATGTTAGTCTTGTAGATCTCATGAGAACTTCATGTATTAAGGAATAAATATATTCAATTTGATTCCGGAATGTTACAAATCTTTGCTGGTATTAATGTTTTGTTTAGGAAGCTGATGCCAATGGTTGTGCAGAGTTCCTCGTTGATGCTGAAAGATATGAGCTACAAAATTGGGATTACAGTTTGTATAATGCCAAAATCTACGTTTACAGTTATATCGTTGAACAGGGAACAGGTAATAACAAAACTACATTATTTCATTGTAGGTGAAATTGATTTTTAATCTTTAATTGAAAAGTATATTTGCTGAATGTTAAGTAGCTAATAATCTTCAATATTTATTTCATTTTTTTTTTTTTTGTGCTTTTAAGTAGATTTGATTATTGATTAGTAAACGTTTCTTGATGTCTGGTATCGTAATCAAGGGTTCCAAGTCTCCCTCCACCAAGGAGGTATATGGTTGACATTTAATGACATGAAATAGAAACTGTGTTATAGGGCCGAGGGCTTTAAATGATTCCCCACTCCCCAAGCTCTCATCCTTAATAGATAAAATAAAATATAAAAATAAAAATATATTCTCCCATATCTTAATTGATAATTTGGAATATTTTTGTTTTTCGTTTCTTTCTAAATAGGTATTGAATTAAGCAACACAGATTTTACAGGCATTGTAGCAAGAAGCCCTCTAGATATATCAATTGAGGCACTCGCCACGTTTAAGCCAGGACTTCCATTCTATGGAAAAGTAAGGATTGTTCTATATATTTATTTTCTACGGATAACAGTAATCTGGATTTTAAGGGAATCATGATTTAGTTTAGTTTCTAAAATCCTGTTTTTACTTTTTCAAATGATAAATATGTATATTAGACCAGTGCTTTTAGTTAGTGATAATGGTGACTTGCAATCATATTTGAATTTAAACAACAGGGGCGGATCCAATTATATATATGCCAAGGTGTAATATAATTATACAGAAAAATATATATCCAATATCTGTATATTCTGTTATGAAATATTGTAAAGGCGTTTAGTATTTGTATGCCATTTTGTTTTTTTTTCTGTTAAAGAATAAAAGACCGCATGCAGTGGACAAACCGGGGAGCAGGTTCCCCTGTGTCCCGTCTGTAAACCCACCCCTGCACAAAGACTCAATACAAATAGAAAGAAACTGCTTTTAAAATCTGACTAACATATATGTATGTTACCTGAATTATATTTATTTTTAGATTTTAGTGACAAAACCAGATGGAGTAGTTTCTCCAAACACTGCAATTTCAATTACAGCAAGGGCCAACTACGGTGTCATTTTTGCTGAAACACTGACAACTGACAACAGTGGTTACATCACTTTCAGTCTTTCAAATATTACTATCCAAGCATCAACCGTATCAATAAAGGTTTGTTTATAAAATCTGAGAGAAATTCTCTGTCGAATAAACATGTGATTACCCATGTGATGATGATTAGGAGAATTATACAATAGTGGTGTATCGGGAGATACATACAAAATATTATCTTTAGCACAGTGATAGCTCCAGAAATTTGGCCCCCACCCTCTGTCTTGGGCTGAAGGGGGAGGGGGAAAGGTTCAACAAGTCTAAACCAAGGGGTTACCTAGAGCCTCTGTCTGGTTACCAGAATAAAATCCTTGGTGGGGTTCATGTGGAAAAGATTTTATGGTTCAGGATGGCATGAAAATTTTGCTGTTAGACCATAATGCTGAACTTTTATAATAGTATTTATTTTGCAAAATGGTTTTCATATAGGTCCAAGCCACAAAAAGTCTACTTTCAATTGTTGAAAAAAAAAATACATTAAACAAACAATATGAAATTTAATCATATTTAATCAATTATAATACTTTGGCCTCTGGGCAGTTTTGAAATGTATGCCATATTTGTTTTGAACAATTGGTTTAAATGGTACCCACTGTTGGGCTCTCAATCCACGGTGTCCTCTTGACTTCTGGTCTTTTTTTTATGATTTGTGTTTATGTGTGCAGAATATATAATGAATAAACTAAATCATTCTCAAAATGAGAAAGGTTAACAGAGTTTTGGATTGAATGTGATGATATTGGGGGTATTTAACTGGTTCATTTCGTTGACTATGAATTTTCGTTGAGTATTATTTTCATTTGACTGGTTCGTAAAATAAGACTTTGTTGACAACAGAAATTAATGTAACCAGAGTGCGTTAATAAGCGTTAAGTTATCCATGTGACCAAAACAAACATGGTCGATTGGTCAGTTTAGAAACAACATTTGCCTTTATATAATTTTAGATTAAATTTCAGAAAATAAAAATTATAATATTTACCCACATAAAGTAAAAAAATAATTGTAAACGGAACTCAAAAACTGGATGAAAACATTTTTTTTACGAAAAACCCACATTGCTACAGGCCAAAGCAATCTTGATTATGCAGCGTGTACCGCGGTAACTATGCAGCCATTTTGTTTTGTTGAGTATTTAAAAGTTTTCTATTTGACTGGTCATCTTTGTTAAGTAGGACTCTACCACTGCGCAGGTGGGCGTGGTTTAACGAAGAATGACCAGACGAATACAGCCATTGCTTTTATGGGACAACACTGACGAATACAACTTGATCATTGTCTGCTCGACACACTCTTTCTGCTTTGCCTTCTTACTCCGTTTTTTATTCTAGCGATATCATGTTATGAAATAACTCTTTTTTGCTTGTAGGCTGACATCATGTATAGCCATACATCAAATGAGAAGAACTGTAATGGTCGGTATTGTGGGTACCATTTAATAATTCCTTCAGCATATCACAGTGCCCAGGCATCTTACTCACCTAGTGGCAGTTTCTTGCAACTGCAACCTATACTGGAAACATTGAACGCAGGAGATAAGCAAACAATCACACTTAGATATACATGGGACAGTGAACAAGATGGAAGCCCATATGATGTTCATTTTCAGTTTTTGGTAAGTCAGGAAACAGAACATGAACATTTTTCTTAAAATATTAATATTCCTTTATAAAAATTGTAAAAATATGTATAAGTTTTACAATTTTATTATTAATATTATTAAAATTGGAAGAATAATGTAATTTTTCTAGGAAGCTGCAACAGCAGCGATGACCTGATGTTAATATTGATGTCGGTAATAGTGCATTGCAATTCGCAAAGGTGCTTTATATTATTAAACTGAGCATTTGATCAAATGCCTATATAGCATCATCAATTTCGTTGCTATCTTTATCGCTAATGGTGGTGTTTCTTGATCTCTAATGGACCTATTTGGAGGGTTAGTCAAACTTAAGAACGAAACAGTCAAAACAGTGCAAAGAGATATGCGCATGTCTAACACACATATATATATATATATATATTGTTGCACAAATGCATCAGTTTTACATGCTTTTACACCGCCATTTTGTGGGACCTTAGCAACAATATCCAAGGGGCGGGGCTTAGTGGAATGTTCCATTATATTCTCATTCAGATTTTATTTTGAAAGGTAATAATGGAAACATTGAACGCAGGAGATAAGCAAACAATCACACTTAGATATACATGGGACAGTGAACAAGATGGAAGCCCATATGATGTTCATTTTCAGTTTTTGGTAAGTCAGGAAACAGAACATGAACATTTTTCTTAAAATATTAATATTCCTTTATAAAAATTGTAAAAATATGTATAAGTTTTACAATTTTATTATTAATATTATTAAAATTGGAAGAATAATGTAATTTTTCTAGGAAACTGCAACAGCAGCGATGACCTGATGTTAATATTGATGTCGGTAATAGTGCATTGCAAATCGCGAAGGTGCTTTATATTGTTAAACTGAGCATTTGATCAAATGCCTATATAGGATCATCAATTTCGTGGCTATCTTTATCGCTAATGGTGGTGTTTCTTGATCACTAATGGACTTATTTGGAGGGTTAGTCAAACTTAAGAACGAAACAGTCAAAACAGTGCAAAGAGATATGCGCATGTCTAACACACATATATATATATATATATATTGTTGCACAAATGCATCAGTTTTACATGCTTTTACGCTGTCATTTTGTGGGACCTTGGCAACAATATTTGGAGGTGCGGGGCTTAGTGGAATGTTCCATTGAGGATCTTCTCCATAAAAATTTAAATATTAATATTTATTTAAATAAAAAATTTTTAAATATGTCAGAGTTTTCATCCCTCTCTGTGGATTTACTTGAATCCTTGACCAGGGCACTTATCAGCATTGCTTCTCTCAGAAGATAAATTGGTCGCTGGGGAGTTTGCCTGTTCCTGTACTGATTACAGAAGCAACATGTATGGATGTGGACCAAATGACCTGGGAAAAAGCGTTCTGAAAAGAAAGGTGCTCTATAAATGTGCAAGTTAAAAAAAAAACTGACTGTATACATATCTTCTCTTGCCTTTTTTTAAAACTTCAGTTCATGTCTAGAGGCAATATTCTGGATGCAGCACCTAGTGATCTTGTAAAAGTTGGTCTGTCTTCCACTGCTGAAAGTCCGACTGTATCTCCAGAAGAGGAAGATCAATTTCCAGAATACATTGAAGAAGATGTGGATATCATAGGTAAGATTCATATACAAATTCTAATGGCTTTCACACAGGTTCTCATTCATTTGGTGCAGTTGTTTTAGTCATTGCGTTTAGAAGCAATCATAGCTTGTGGGATTTTCAGGGAAATTGACAAACATGGCCCCCATGTCATCTGATGCCACAACATCTCCTCAGACTAAATATTAATACAGTATATGGAGTCAAGTTACTGGGAATACCAATCCTGAATATTGCCGTCTAAAAGCAAAAATTTTGGCCATCCTGAACTATAAAATCTCTCCCCATGAACCCCACCAATGATTATTTTGGAACCCTGATTAAGGCTCTGGTGGCCTCTTTGCCCCTGACAGTCTTGTTGGACCCATGTCGACAAATTACTGGAGCTAGTACTGACAGAGTCCTAATGAAGGCGTGCTCAGACTTAATGACGACATCCCTCATGAAGATGCCATATTAATATTATAAAGCTTCCTGGATAGTTGGTACTAAGTAACTTTTCTGGGAACTTTGCTGTTATTACAGGGCATTTTTGTCCTGATTGTTCTTCTTGATTAGAATTAATAATATTAATTAATAATTGATATAGAACATAATTTTATGATTTAATTAATATTTGTTGTTTGCTCAGAGGTCAACGAAACCGAGACATATGGTAATTACTTTTTCTACCACCCAATTCCAAATGTTGAGATTGCTGAACCAGGAAAAATGTACATAATAAAAAAGCAATTTGATGTGACTCAAGAAATGGCTCCAGTAACACGAATCCTGGCTTACTACATAAGGTTAGATGGAGAAGTAATTGCAGACAGTATTGACGTCAGTGTTGAAAATCAGTTTGAGAATAAGGTCTGGTAAATTTTTATTGTTTTGGGACTTTAATATAACCACAGTTATTAGAAATCAGCATATTTAAGGTACACTGTAATCATTAGTATTAGTAGTTTATTATTATTTTAAGATATGCTTTTAACTGCATTCTATTAGCCACACTCAATAAAACAATTTTTACCCAACTTAAAAAGAAAGTTGTAAATTTTAAAATAGCAGAGAAATACTTGACTGGCAGTTAGGAAGTACAATAGTTAAATTCTCTATAAAGTTAATACTTTACCAGGACCTGGTGAAAGTTAATACTTTACCAGGACCTGGTGAGCAGTCACTCTTGTTGTACATTAAATGAAAGAATTAAACAGATTGCAAAAATGAGCCCGAACAGGGTCTTGCACACTGCCACCATGGAGGGTATAAATTAGGATGGGAAATTTACATAATTTATTCCTACATGGTATACCAAACTCTGTATAAAAACCAACGATAGGTTTAAACCAGGGTCTATGGCAGAACAGCTACCTCTCAACCAAACGCTCAGCTTTTTACAGGCAATTGCACATACAATGATTGCAGCTGTTACTGTAGGTGATGCGTACACTTCCCCAAAAGTATCAGAATTGTTGACCATTCCTTAAAATTCTCTTACAGGTCAACATACAATTTACTGAAGAGAAGATGAAACCTGGTGATTTCGCTCAGTTAAAAATTACTTCAGCTGCTGATTCTTTGTGTGCTGTGGGTGTTGTTGACAAGAGTGTTCATTTATTACGCACAAATAATCAATTAAATCAAGAAAAGGTAAATTCACCATTTCATGTATACCTACCTGGATAAACCAACTTATTGCCATTGTTCCTTTAAGAACACCCCCATGGCAAAAATAGAACCGTCAATTATAGATTTAATATATCAACATATAATTGTAAATTTTCAAATTTTTTTTTTAAATTTAATGGATTTACAGAAGTTGTTTTAAATTGTTTACAATTTTCTTGTGTAAAGGTGTTTTCTACTTTGAATGGGTACCAGTTGTCATCAGATGGTGGCTACATAGAGAGAAGCGACCACTGTCCCAACCAATTTTATTGGTATCGGAAGAAAAGATCATTTATGAAACGACAACCATTCATGAAACAACGTCGATCAATTGCTCCGTATTTTCCACAAACATCATATGAAGATTCTTCCAAGGCTTTTGAGGTATGTTATGAGATATTTTTTAAATACTTCTTTGAAGTTTATTTGATTAATAATTATATTTTATTAATATGATATGTAAGTCACTTGTTATAATGTCAAATCAGTATTCCTAATTGACTGTCAACAATAAATAAAATTATTTGATTTTATTTAAAACAAAAGTTGTTGTGTTTCAAAACTTAGAGGCGGATCCAGAATTTTCCAAATGGGATGTGGGGGTAGGGTACCAAGTTATCAAATTAGATAAGTAGGGGGAGCTAGCATCAGTGGCATGACAAAGGGACTGGGGGAACTATTGAAATATTTTTATTTGTACTCTTATATTTTCTTAATTCGTAACATTGAATTGGTGTGTATTGAAATTTGAAAATGTAGTGGTAATACGGTGGGAGTGCTCATTCCCTCTGTCATAGAGTACCACAGTCGTGTCATCACGATGCCAGGTGGCGCTTTCTGTTGCCAACAGACGTTGGTCACCGTTCATTACGCCTGAATGACCTAATAGGCTTTCTGGAATAGGCATTTTAAAATCTAATATTTTACCATCAAAATGTACTAAAAACACAAAAGCTCGCATTATATTAGTTATCGAACATACATTTAATCATCAATTAAAATTTACAAAGAAAAAGTAAGATACAACATCTTAATAATTACGTTAGAAATTGGGATCAATGGTTTGTCAGTGATGAAAATGGCGCCTGGTTGAGCACTTTTTACAACAATTATAGTAGTATCACGCAGTATCGTGACGTAACACTGTAGTACTCTATAAAAAAAGCGACGCTAATGATTTTTATCTGAATGATAAATGTTTTTGTCTGAGTTTAGGACATGGGTCTAGTATTCATGACAAACATTGATGTTGAAACACGACCTTGCCCCAAATACTATGCTCAACCAATAGGTAAGTTAAACAATTAATGCATTTTGTAGTTACAACAGTGCCACAGTTTCCTTTTCTTTTGGTACAGCATTTGAATCATACTGCAAACTATGCTGTTGAGTGAGGCTATACTAGTTCAGTAAGGGTCACCCAACCTGACCTTCGGGATGCATGTGTTTGACCATGGTTTGACCAAAAATATGTTAAAAGGGTCATGTTTTTTTTGTTGTGAACAGGCTAATGTATGTTTACTGAAATGTTCATATAGTATGTATATATATATATATATATATATATATATACAGGGGCGGATCTAGAAGTTTTGGTTGGGGGGGCTATAGGTATATGTGTAAAGTGCCTGCGGAACCTAGGTTTGGGAGGAGGTGTCTGCGTCCGATAAGATGGGGTTCAGAGGGGTAGCTGAACGCTTTAGCTATTAGATGTATGTATGTATGTGGGTGTGTGTGTGTGTATGTATGTATGTATGTATGTATATATATATCTGTTTAATTTGCACATTAACAACTGTCTCTTATACACAGCTAGATGTGTATAAGAGACAGTATATATATATGAAGAATTTTAAAACATATTTTTACTTTAAAATATAGATGTTATGACATTACCACCAGGTTTTTTGGGTGGTTGTCTTAAGTTTTGTAATTATATCACAGTAATTATAATGTCACTTTCAGCCTTATTTCAGGCATTCACATCACTAAACTACTGCACATCTATTCAACTTTGTGTTTAGGGTTACTTTTTACTATGAAAATACTTGTTATAGATGTATGATTTGAACGTGCTCACCATATTAATAATGGCATTGCCTATCATGTACAGTATATGTTTTATGTAAGCTTTCTAATAGTTTCAACTGCACATGACTATTTCAAGGGCCAGAGCATATAAACAAGCACTCAACAGGCTCTCCAATGTAGAGTTATTACTTAACAGCTGTTAACCTTCATGCTATATGGTTAGTTACTGAACTTATTAAACTTCTCTTTAATAACATTTTTCAGATTTTAGTTTAGTTTGTATATATACCTTGACCTTTAACATGGTCAGGTGCAGTTGAAACTATGAGAGGGTTTATTTATTAGTTAACATCCAATAACATTCTTAACCTTCATTTCCAACCTGCTATGTTTCTGTTCATCTGCACACTAACATGCCAGCTTTGTCAAGGTCCAGTCCAGAATTTCTACTTGTTGATGATATTTTGATTCAACATACTCCAGTTCCAAGCACTGTTTCAAGCATTAGATCATATTTCCCTGAAACCTGGCTCTGGGATCTCAAACGTCAAAGGTAAATCTATAAGAGTATTCTCAGTTTAGTAGATGGTTATAATATAAATTATTTTATGGGAGACTCTCGCTTGCTCACAAGAGTTCGAGTCCCGATTTTTGGGACTTGTGGGAGATTTAGGACCTCAGGGTTGTTTTGTAAATAAGAAAAATATTGAGATAGAAATATATTTGACTAAAATTGCTCAAACTGAAAACATGATTAGATAATAGGCTACCTCCAAGATTAGACAATAACAAACGAGTCAAAAAATAAGTCTGTTGCGTGAATACTTACCTGGATAAACCACTGACGAATTACCACTGTTCCTTTTAGAACACCCCTCCAATCAAAAATAAAACCACCCAATTTTCCCAGCAATTTGTGTGTTTATTAGCTCAGTCAGCTAAACTAGTGGTAGACACTGTGTGTGCACTGAGCTGTGGAGATCTCTTGGTCCCTGGTTCAAGTCCCATCACTGCTCTCCTTGTATTCAGCTGGAGGGCTGAATGCGCACCCGTCTTTCAGATGAAATGTTTAAGCCATTGGTCCTGTGTACATTATGGTCCATGTGTGTGTTAAAGAACACACAGTACACTCTGTTGAAAAGAGAGACGCGGAATAAATCCGTCCATCCATCCAATGTTTTTGCTTCATTGTGGTGTATACCATTGAATTTATGCATCAGACTGACTTGTCTTCTTAATACTTGTTGAATTTTGTATGAATACTAATATATTCAACAAAAGGTAGGTTGGTTATCATTTATCTTGTGCTTATTGTGTAGTATATGCTGTGTTTGTTTGACTTAATGTATTTACTCAAGTAACTCTAGGAGTTTTTAAGGTAAGTTGGCATGTTATCACTATTAGCTTCATAGGCTAGCTTCCCTTAGATTAGAATTTTATGTTAGAGATACATTTATACTACTTCAGATATACTAATGAATATTATATGTGTAATGTTGCATCCATATTAACAAACATGCACAATATGCAGGCATCACCACTTCCTAAGGAATATTCCATTTTCTCCCCGCCACCTTTTCTGAATCTACTATACTCCTACCATTTCAGGTTAATTTGCACATTAACAATGTATATACATGTAAGGGTATGTAATCTTGTTGCAGTGTTAAGCCAGGTTACTCTTCTTGACAATACTGAAGTTATTCTGATGGTGTTTGGTGTCAGGAGATTAGTAAATATGAGTGATGTTTTGTTATTGTACTGAATCAAATCCACAACCTCCACATAACTATAGCCTAGTGTATTAACCACTAGACTACCAAGCTTGCACTTAGAGGCTAGTGTTGAATTTGATTCCCAAGTATGCCAAATGCTATTCCGATAGTGTCAGGATATTCCCACCCTAATCAATTGCAAACTTTTTTTTTGCAAGTACTCTATTTGGGAACATACTGAGCATTCAATACAGTAAACACGTTAGGTAGGGCAAAAACATTCCTAAGTTATCCGTAAGTTATTATCGGTATTTCATAAGCCAAATTGACATTAGAGAGATTTCGTTCCCTCCGAGAACCAATCCGCAGAGAAAAGTGCAAATTTTTGTGTATGACGTCACCAGTTTAGGCCTAGTTTTAATTTTCTCGGACTCGCAACCCGAGATTCAGCTGCTGGAGACCTTGCGATAAATCAGAAACTTATTGTGCTTGCAACATTTTAATGAAATTTGATTATATTCTATAATAAATTATAAGTCAATTGTCACGTCATCCCTGTAACTCCCAATGTTATTTGACTATTCCCCAGCATCCACTAATTTTTCTATTAGTGGACGCTTGGCTTGATTTTTTTTTAGGTTCGTGTGGAAAAAAAGTTCCTCATTTTTTCGTCGCGATAAAAATTGGATTGTAATTGAAAATGACTTTCGTAAAACAAGCTTAATTAGAACCCGAAGAAAATTACTTCAAATTCAATATTAAGTATGAATAATTAAGGAATTCATTGAATCAATGGCCCTCATAAACACAACAAACTGAACGAACGAACGAATATTCTAGACCTATTTTAAAGACTCAAGGAACAGATTTAGATGTAGGCCTACGGCCAGGCAGGAGGCCGCCCGGACCTCCTCCTACAACTACTAGGCCGTAGCCTAGCCTAGTTATAAAATCATCGCACAATTTTACCTGTCTGCATGCACCGACCAAAAAGGACGTCAGTGACTGTATTCTCTCTCGAATGCTGAAATGTTTATTTCTTTGACGAAATCAAAATAGCATTACAAACAAGTTCTTTCTAACACAATAGTTATTCATCGTATCGTACTGTATTGCTGATGTGTAGTTAATTAAACGCGTACTGCAGGAGCAAAAATCAGCATACACACAGCTAAATGTAAATACGCACACGCATACTGATCATATCACTATAGCAACTGATGACTGCTACAACATTTGGTTATAAAAAACTAAAATTAAAAGATGGTGATTGACTTATAAAGCAATTAGTAGAGCATGCATCATACTCTAAATGGAAAATCATTATACTTAGGTTAGATTTAATGCATATAAAAATTTCCTTCGGGCCTTACAGGCCCTCAGGAAATTTTTTCAAGCATTAAACCTAACTTCGTATAATAATTTTCCTATAGTGTACTATGCAGAGCTCTACTAATTGCTTATTATTGTATACTACCTTGGGAAAATCATCATATTTAATACTATTTGCAAATTTTTTGCAGATGCTCAAATAATCAATGTATTTTGTCCTAGCTAGGCTAGGCCTTGGCCATTTCATACCATTACATCACATCAGCCATCGTGCCACCACGGCCATAGCAACAGGCTGTACTGCCACCAAGGGTTTAGTTCTAGGGGAATGTGAAATGGGATAACGAGAACGGTAACAAGAATGGGGAATTTCTCAGTGGATTGGTTCTCGGCGGAGATAACAAAAGCTCTCTATTATTTTGATCAGTATACAACAACAAACCAAGGGGTAGGAGAAAATTAATATGATTTGAAGTAAATATGATTTAACATCTTGTTTCACCCACCATGTTGAAGTAATATTTGATTAGCATTTCCAATGTTGGCTCTCCACCCTGTAGGTAATGCATTAAAAAACAGATACCGTAGTAGTACTTTTTAGGAATTTATAATTAATACCTTCTGCAGCCTATTCTTTTGGAAAAGCCGAAGGACCTGCATTTGCACCAGAAAAGGGCACTGCTGCTGTTAGAACATATTTCCCAGAAACTTGGCTATGGGACTTATACAGAGTAAGGTAAGTTATGGTCCATGCAGTTTCTTTTTATGATTTTACATGAATTAAATTTTTTGTTTTGGCTCAGATTTGTTGAAAAAACACTTTAAACCTGATAAATATAAGTTAAATTAAAATTAAAGTAATTGGGACTAGTTAGTAACTAGGATTTTCAGACCGGCCCTCACAACATCTGTGCCACTCTTAGTTGTGAATTGGATAAAGGTAAGCAATGAACAACACATGAAAAACATGGATTGGATAGAAAAAAATTGAAGACAATTGCTTATAAATAGTTCTTTTGTGATGACTTTAAAGAACTGGTACATACAATACTGAATGAAAAAAATAACTTTTAACTGAAAACATATACAAAAAAAAAGCAAAAAGCGCTTAATTTTAATGAAATAGCGCTATATAAATGATGTAATGTAATATGATATGATATTATGCCAAGTGTATTTCTTTATAATATTGAAAGGCAAATATCTGCTGAATATGTATTGAAAAGTGAAATTTCGTTTTAATAAGTATTGAATTATTTAATTTAAACTATTCTTTATTTTTTTTGGCAGTGAATCTGGTGAAATGCTGATGAATGTAACTGTACCAGACACCATTACGGAATGGGTGGGCAGTGGGTTTTGTACGTCCGTTACTAAAGGTGTCGGCGTGTCATCATCGACAAAACTTCAAGCCTTCATACCATTCTTTGTATCGTATACGTTACCATACTCGGTGATCCGTGGCGAAAAAGTTGCTGTCAAAACAACCATCTTCAATTACTTGAACGATTGTTTAGCGGTAAGGCACATTTGATTAATAATTACAATACTTATATTTATTAATATTGGTCATTGTCATACTTGTCGTCATTTTTTCACCCATCATTAATCATTATCTCTTATCTCATTATTATGTTTGTAGCCATCTTGATTTTGATATTTTTATAGTCCAATTTATGACGTATATAATAATATGTATAGTTAAGATTTTGTTATTTAGTTTTGATATATTGTTTTCTGATTTTCTATATGAAATAGTGATTATGTATTGTGAAATTTTCATCAAATATTTTCATATAGAATCATATTTGTATGTTTTCATCTCCTTTACATTAGATCAAAGTTAAATTTGAGAAAACGGATGATTTTGACCTGTTTTCTGAGGCTACTCAATTTGTATGTGTTTGTGGTGGTCAATCAACAACAATAGAGTTCTCGATCGTTCCCAAGACGATAGGAGACATTCCACTGACAAGTAAGCAAGTCACCCTTATTCATTTACATACTTTTTATTCCATGTTTTTCTGAAGAATAGACCTCTAATTAAATAATATTCTGCTCTTGTTGCGGCGCCATATAGCACATAGGTGGGTATATAGGATTAAGGTAGGTGGCGTTCCCAATCCATGATGGATTTCCGCAGGTTCCTGTCCTTCATTGCAGTATTGAGGTCCAAAATTCCAGTCCAGTGGATGTCAATATATGTGAGTGCAGGTCTAAAAAATAATATAAAAATAAAAATAAAAGAGAAATATATTCTCAACTACTGTAAAATAATGAAAGAGATATATATTCTCTACTACCGTAAACTAGTAAAGTTTCATCTTGAGTAAACCTGATGTTAGAGTGAAATGATGTTTTTTTTTTCAACAAACTTTTAACTAATTCCTAAATTCCTATGAGTAAAGTAAAGTTTAAAATTTTGTCAATAGTGTTTGCGGAATCTGTTAGCAGTAATTCTGGCACTGCCGTGTGTCCTGCTGATGCGGATATGAGTGATCTTCTGAGCGTGGGTGATGCAATTAGGAAGAACCTATTAGTGGAGGTAACCATATTATATCTTTGTGTTCATATTATAATAAATAAACTTAATAATGTTTACAAGATTCTGAATCTAAAGATTCAAAACTTCTATTATTATACTCACATAACACAATTCTATAAATGTAATTACAGGTATTTAAAAGTGCAGTGGTGTACCCAATGGTTTTCACAGTGCCCGAGCACTCCCTGCTTTTTGTTCAAACATGAAAAATAATTGTAAATTAATGGAAATAAATGGCAAAGTAAGATACTTTAGACTAATTGATGATGCTGTCCCTAGTTATGCATCTTTCGTGAATTTAGTGGATGTAATATTTCTATTTAGCACCTTCCTTTTAAAAATCTTGGGTACACCAATGAAGTTACGGCTTATTCAGGTAAATTTTTATTTTAGATAATTGTCAGTTGCTTAATACTGTACTCTAAATTAGGCATACTCTGTATTGTGTGGAGTCATTTGCATATTGTGTGTTGTTTTTGCAATGCTGTTTCCTTATAGAAATTTGATTAATTGAATATTTATTCATTTTTTTACAAAGCCTGAAGGAATTAAGAAAGAAGTTGCATATACTCAGCTACTAGTTGTTGATGGTAAGAAAGCAAGCATTATTTTTCTGAAATGAGGTGATCTATGTAGTGGTATATAAAACAAATATTTACTTCAATTTTAATCAGGTCACAGTTTGTGACCTGATTTCCTTCGACCTATCTGGGGACATATAGTACAGCCTCCAGATCACCTGGGGCTATAATTTGAACCTTGCCCCTCAACCCAGTAAATATTTGTATATTAAAAATAATGCAGGAATATTCAACTGCAATAATAACTTCTAAGAATACATTTAAGATTTTTTATTTAATTTGTTTTGTCAATCCAAAAATATTACAACAATATTAATATTAAATGTAAACAGAAAACTTTAAAAAGTGTAATACTCAACAGGCTGTGTTGCTCCCATAATTTTGTATTTATTTGTTGGAGAATTGTGTATTTTTTTTATATTTTGAAGCTGTGTTGTATGTTTGACATTTTGTATTCCATATACATATACAGCAATAGTGAATTCACTTTAACTCTGTAAAATATTAAATGTGTATATATCTTGGTATCTTATATTCAATATAAAACATATAAACAAGCCAATGGCTAAATTGTCAAAATTTCTGACATAAGCCAACCAAAGTAAAAAAATATATACCGGTAAATATAATATTTGTATGAAATGTTTAAAAAATACTTTACATTAAAAAATGCATTGAAAAAAGCACAAATTCAGAGACAATAAAAAACAACACCCAACCAGACCATCACAAAACTTACAAAAAGGGACAGCAGTGACCCCTCCCAAACGCCGCACAACGCATTAACATACTGCCCATACCAGGAGGGTAGTACGCAACTCACGACATGAGCTTGCAAATGACAATAAGGAATGAGTTGAATTAGTTGACAATTTTTTATCCTAGATTCCATTGATGTGTCATTCAGTAAATCATTGTTAGCAAGTCTACCGAGTGACTTCATAGAGGGATCAGAATCTGGACATTTGACGGTGATTGGTATGTATTCAGCCCTCTTCAAATGTGACTCGACATTTATGTTTCTCGATCTAGGAGTTTCTATATGTTCTCTATGTTCACATGTGATCTTGTTTAAAATTTATACTTTAAAGCTCCAGTTCATATCCTATTTCTCAAATAATAAATTTCTCTCCTGTTTATAAGCATATTTATTTTTTTTGTAGAATTTCATTTTTATTTAATCCTAAATTTGATATTTTTATTTTAATTGTATATAAAATGGTTATGATAATATAAATGTACATCTTATTTATTCATTTTTTTTAGTTTAGGCTATTTGATTGATTGATATATTTATGCTCATCCTGTAATTTGGGTTTATGCTATTGAATATTTGAATGAAAATACAATAAAATCACCAAAATACAAATAACAAGAGATTTAATAGTAGAATTGGGAATAAGAATGTGTGTGTTTGCCACATGAAACATGATCGAATGGACATCCCTTTACATGTCATAGGTGATATGATGGGAAAAACTCTTGCCAACCTGGACAAACTTCTCCAAATGCCAACTGGTTGTGGTGAACAGAATATGTTGGGCTTTGTCCCAAACATCTATGTTTTGCAGTACCTCAGCGAAACAAACCAATTAGACCAAGCCATCGAGCAGAAAGCCTTGGGATACATGAAGATCGGCTATCAGCGAGAGCTTAACTATCGCCGATCGGACAGCTCGTACAGCGCGTTTGGAAATAACGATCCACAAGGCAGTACTTGGCTGACTGCATTTGTAGTGAAGTCTTTTGCCCGGGCTAGCGAGTATATTTTTATAGATCAAAAGGATTTGGATGTTAGTATCAACTGGCTGAAGAGACAGCAGATGGAGTCTGGATGTTTCAGATCTATTGGTCGAGTCATACACAGTAATATGCAGGTTTGTTTATATAATTTCTGATTGTTTCTTTGAAATTGTATTTTGTATGCAGAAAAATGGAGCTTTAGTTTGGCAGTTAAGATGCTTGTATTCTAATCCCAGTGTCTTGAGTGAAACACTGTTATTGGGCAAGGCACTTTATCTACATTTACCTCTCTGTCCTCCCAAAACGTATAAATGTGAACCAGGTAAGATGTTGTGGCGTAAAATTTAGTATTCCATGTACAGCCATATGATTGGGTGTAATCCTCTGCCAATTAATTTTTTTATTAACATAATAATGCCATATATTATGTTAATACATATATATATAGCACTTATTCCAAAATGATCAAAGGCTCTGAACATTGTTGCCCCTGGTCACTGGATAACATACAACTGCAAACCAGCATGAAGTGCAACCTTCTCTATTCTCTGAGGAGTATATCTACTCATGCACGTGTACTCAGCGCACGAAAGTAGTACAGTCTTCTGGGTAGAAAGAGACAACGTAGATAAAGTGCCGTGCCCAAGGACACAACTACTTGCACATCGAGAGTTTCAAAACCCAGACCTCAAGGCTAGGAGTCCAAGCCACAATGGATTAACCAAGCATTTCTATAACATCTTGAGCCTTATATCAGTTTTTAAATTGGGGACGTATGGATTAAGGATTATTATCATCATTATTACTGTTATTATCATACATCACTTATCCATTTATATATTATTTTATCACATAGATTCCAGTTCTAATTCTGACAACACTTTAAATAATCATCACGTCTGTTTTTAATGAGCAACTAAATATTATAACTGGAATGTATATTTCCCCAGAGTTTATCACTCAAAAATCATCTGTGAAACTTAAATTAAAAATGTTTACTCAGTTCTTGATTGTGTTATTTTTTTCCATTTTTAGGGAGGTGTTGATAATGCTGAGACCCTGACAGCTTACACAATGATAGCGTTAATGGAATCGGGAGTTTCCAAAGATGTATGTTCATATCAGTATTTAATTCAGTCATTCAATAATCATCATTAAGCAGAAAATATAGTCAAAATGTTGAATTGTGCTTAGTAAAAAAATTATATTATCAATAAAGTATAATACACAAAATCATTATTTGTTTTATGTACAATATTGAAAACTTTACAATAGATTAAAAGCCCTATGCATTTTGCTTAATATATTTCATTGAGTAAGTAATGGTTGATAATGAAATGTAACCTTTTATTATTGATTAAATAAATCAAAATAACAATATTCCAGAGTTTTTGTAAATAAATTAAATTGAATTGAAAAGTAACTTAATAAATATGCTAAGCATGTAATTATCAAGCAAGGGAATTAATCATTTTGTTAAAGTTAGTGATAGGGCTTTTTAATGTGCGTTTTTGTAGTTGGCATGATTAAATTTTGGTTTGAAATGTAGTGGTTTTATGCTGTTTGATATGAAAAACCATTATTAAGTGTGAGAGAGTCCAGGGCATTTCATTCAAATCAATTACTCCACATGCAATCATCAAAATATTCTTTTCATAGACAACCAGAATTTCAATAAGAAAGTTTCTTTTATAAATATTTATGATGTTTGATCATTTAATTTCTGTTCCTAGGACCCTATCATTGTGAAAGCTACTAGATGCGTAGGCAACAATATTGATAGCCTTAATGATCCGTACAACATTGCGTTAATAGCATACGCCCTCACTATGGCAGATGCTCCAACGAAAGATGAGATCATTCAACTTTTGAACGATAATTCAATTAATGAAGGTAAGCATCTTCTTTTTTTGTAACCTTTCAAACTTTTCTGTCATGTATTTTGTGGTGTTCCTGCAAGAAGAATCTCATGGGTGGATGTGTGAAGAGTGAACATGTGTGACCCAAGCTGTGTTGTGGGCATGCAAAATGTACTGTACATATAAACCCTGATATACAGCTTCAATTTTTGTACTGTCAATATTTTTTTGCTGTAGTACACCACGACCAATCATCAAGCCATCACAATCAAACAACAACTATTTCACTTGTTTACTGAAATTGAACCTGTGGAAGCAAATATACAAACTGGGGTTTTTTGGTCTGGTTTAATTCCATTTCTGCTCTCCTATGTCAGCTGAACGGCAGAAATGAAAAAGCAGACACTGCACATGATGGTTGTTGGCCGACACGTTTCCATGAGAATGCAAGGCCACAATGCGCGCACAATGGATTGTTTTGCATGACGAAAATTGAAGATCCATTCAGATTGTCGCCAACAATCAGTAGATGGTGTCATGTCATCTAAAGCTTACCTGTAGCTAATTGTTGATTTGACTGATGTATTTCAGATGGTGTGACTCACTGGGAGGCCATTGCAGAGGACACAACAAACTACTACTACGTCTCTGATGATAGCCTTGCTAAGGCACGTGATGTAGAAGCCACAGCCTATGGTCTTCTTGCTCAAATATTGTCTACCAATGTCAAGAATGATAAAGTAACCGAAGGCCTGCCAGTTGTCCAGTGGATTACTAGACAGACAAACCCTAATGGGGGTTTTATCTCAACTCAGGTACATATATATGTGATGGGCTATGGGAAACCCTCTGTCAAGAAAAAATTATCAAAATTTAGTTTTTGGGATCTTTATATTCTACAAGTACTCTTTCAAACAGTGTTTATTAGATAGGAATTTGTTGAGTATTAGTAAAGTTATGATTATTTAATTCACTGGATAGGAGTAATATAGATTTAAAAAATGTCCAAAGATTCCAAAATAAGTGGTTAATATTATTTTTTTAATAATTGTTTTAGGCTGAAGGCCAAGGATACCAAGCAGCGAACTTAATCACTATTCAAAGTGGCATATCTTTTCACATGACAAACATGAACACAAGATGCTCTACATAAACTAAGTCTCATTACGAGGCTTAGGGTGTAGAGTAAAAATCTGAAGTTGATCGACATGCTAATTCTCCGACTTTTTGGGTGCTAGCACAAAATTGGAAATGCCAACAAATATCATTAAATGAGTATTATTAGTACCCAATTTAAACTTTTGGTGTAAACACAAGGGAATTTAAAGGGGGGAGGGTGTTTGTGTATTAATTGCATCTATTAATATATTTTGAGAAATATTATCTATTAACTATGATTTGTTTTCATTTCATTTCAGGACACGGTAATGGCTCTGGAGTCCCTTGCTGTGTTTGCAGGTGTTAGTTATAATAACCCTGGTGATCTCTATGTCGACGTACAAGTACAGGGTGTCAGACAACCTAAACGATTCTACGTGAATGCTGCTAATCGCCTGGTGGTGCAGAGCATGATGTTCCCATTGCTCAATCCATTCACCGCCATAGCCATTAATGCTGGTGGAACTGGTAGTGCTCTAGTACAGGTTAGTACAGGCCCTCAATCAACTTAAATACGGAGGTATTTTGGCTTACACTCAAGAAATCAGGGATGTAGTTATGGTGGGCGGAGGTGGTAGGGCCACCCATCCTTGAGGTTTTCCACCCAGTCTAAAGCTAATTGCATGGCCCTCCGCCCACCCTTAAGGCCAACTCCCGACGCGATTTGTTGTCGCGTCGGGTTGTGTGAGTTGAACGCAGACGCGAGGGTGTGCATCGGGGGCAGTCGCGTAGTAGAATATTAAACGTGTTTAATATTTCTCGCGACGGCTTAAGACTGTCCCCGACGATAAATCGGGTCGGGCTGCGTCGGCTGACGCTGTCTGAGTTGGCCTTTATTAGCCCATGTTTCTATCCTTAAAATCCACTCTTATTATTTTACCCATGTTATCACCCACCTACCCTTAAAATGTCTATAACCCACCTATAGTTTTCTACAGCTACAACCTTGCAAAAATGAATAAAACATATAAGACAACCATAGACCATAGAAGTAGCTACCCAGTTTTTAAAATTTAATTTTAAATATTTGATAATTCCTATAATTTGTAGTGTTTATTAATATACTATAAATTAAATTAAAGATTAATTTTTAAATTTTGAAACTTGCATGACAGTTTTGATCGCTAACAGCTACCATTATCAAATGACTGGAATGTACAACTTTTTTTTTAATGTTGTAATTAAATTAATTGAATTTGAACAAATATTTTGATTTATGAATTTTAGATTATGTGAGTTGTGCTTTTACAGAAGTATTTGTAGTATGATATGAATATTTATTCTGAATCTATCCATATTAAAGGACCATTGAGGATGGAGGGAATGTACCATTGGTGACTCATTTACCAGTTGGCCTACTTTTCTGCTTCTAATTAATTAATGCTTCCAACCTCCTTTTAGACTGTCATCAAATACAATGTACCATCAGCATTTGTGCGGCCATCATTTGATATTGAAGTTGATGTGGACCAAGAAGAAGGTCAGGAACTTGACAGAGGCTGTGGCCAACAGATCATGGATATCTGCATAACGTATGTATGCAAAGAGAGCAGCTTAGCTCAGCGGTAGCCTCTCTGTGTGTGCTGAACCATGGAGATTTCTAGGTCCCGGTTAAATTCCCATCGCTGCCCCTCCTTGTGTTTCAGCTGGAGGGCTGAAATACAAGTTAAAATAGTGTACCGTTTTTCGGTTAAGACATTTAAGTCATTGGTCCCTTGTGCATTTGTGGCCCATGTGCATGTTAAAGAACGCAGTACACTCTTCGGAAAAGAGTAGGGGTTGTCTCCCTGTGTACTGCCCAATCACTGCCAGAAGGACCCCATTGGAAATAAGTCTTCTTAGACTTTCTTGGGTTATTCTTGGAGTTTACACTGAATAAATCCAATCCAATCCAAAATTCTGCAATCTTTTCCTTTAAGGATACACTCTGATGTCTCGAAACTGCTGATATTAATTATTACTTTTATAATTATAGCTATAATGGGACTGCTCGTGCTACTAATATGGCTGTTGTAGAAGTCCAAATGCCTTCTGGATATTATCCAGATAAAAATTCGCTAAAAAATCTCATCAAGCTCAGAGCATTTGGAATTAAACGATACGAAATTGAGGGCAAAGTGGTCTCCATCTATTTTGATGAGGTAACTATGTTCCTACTTTGTTTTCTTACCTTAGGAACCATTGAATGGCCATATGTTATGTGTGTGTGGGTGTTTACACTGTGTTTTGTTCTGAATTATTTTTTATAGTTAGTACTTGGCCTTGCTTTTTTTATTTTTGTAATTTTGTTTTTGAAGAATATTTTTTCCATACATTATAAAACAAAAAATATTGAAGCAGATAATTATTTAATTGTTAAAGGTTATTCATTTATATTGCGCAAAATACGAGCGTCTTTATGCACAGAACAAGTGAGCAGATGTAACTGGAAAATTAAAAAAAATTAAAAATCTAAGCCAGTAGTAATTGTATGTGAGTCATTATTTTCTGACGTCTATGGAGTGCAAGATATGACGGTCAACTGCAGGGTAAAATTAATGACTTCTCAAATGTTTGATGTACACTTTCAGTGGTGAGACCTCACTGTGCTTACAATTAATACACAGATCACAGTGTATTGAATTGGTCTTTATAGCATAAAACTTCAACACATGAAAAGGTCTAATTTACCATCCATTGTCAGATAATTTTTTCTTATCCCATAAAGATAAAGATGTTTATAATAATTTTTTTTACAGTTTGTTAAAGATGTGCAACTATGTTTTGAGCTAACAATTTATCAGCAAGATTTAGTTGAAGATCTCAAACCTGGAAGCATCTTTGTTTATGATTACTACGATACTGGTAAATTATATCTATTTATTTACTTATTTCTTTATATATTTTTATGCTCTATGTATACCAAATTATTTTAACTTTAAAAAAGTGTTTTATTTTGTATTTGTGCTGGTGTGAAGTATTGGAGAGCCACTCTGATGGGGTACTGTTACTTTGTAGCTGAAGCTTTTTCTTTTGTCTTCCCATGTTTCTTTGTTGGCTACTGGTTTACTTGGAAATCGAATAAAATAAAATGAATATATTAATTTTAATCTAACTGATCTGTGTATATGGTTCATAGTGCAACAAGGACGTGACTTCTATGAGGTGGATTGTGGGGAGGAGGTTGTTGTTGATGTATCCCTGGCATCTCCCTTGTCAATAGACCTTGCAGTCGTACGTGAAAAAGTAGCAGAACCAATAGAAGCCCCAATAGGAGCATTACCCATTGATGGTAAGTCCTGTACCTTTGATTGGTTGTGTGTACTTTTGGTTGTGTCGACTGTCGTTTTGTCTTAGTTTTCAAAAATAAAATTAATTCTCAGAATCTTGTCATTATTAAAGCTCTGTCCACACTCACATTTTTTATTTGATAAATACATGTGCTTTGCCCATATATGGGTATGATATGACATCATCATGCCTAAAAATGTATGCCTCTACAGGCCTGGAATGTTAACACTATTTATTATATACTTCATATATAGATTCTAGGCATCTGATTGGTTAAGAAGCGGCAATAGAAACTATTCTATACCTCATACATAGATTCTAAGCATCTGATTGTTTAAGAAGCGGGGCAATAGAAAGTACTATTCCCCTCAGTTTGCACCTGTCGCGAGGTGCAAACTTTAGGCCCACTGCATTGCACTGCATCTGACGGTAAAGGGGACTGCAACATCTACGACGAGATTATCCCCCTGGCTGCGTCACGGATCAGCGAGTAGACGATAAACAAATATGGAGGCTGCTCGTTTCAAGATGATGAAGGCCCTCGGGAAGATAGGCTACGGTCTCCACATTACCTCGGGGCAATAGATTTCACCATTCCCATCATGAGCAGTCAATATTTGTATACTATTCCCCTGAAAAATAGTACTTTTTTGCCCTGTCACGTGATGTGCAACTCTTAGGCCCCATATAGCACTGACGGTAAATGGGGCTGTGATCTCTACGACAAAAGAGATTGGCCCTCACCATGCCACGGTTCAGCGAGTAGATGATAAACAAATACAGTATGGAGGCTGGTCAGTTTGAGCTCCTGGATGAAGAAGGACTAGCCTAGGCCTGGCATTACTTCTTGATAAAGCCAATAGCAAAACCACCAAAAGACAAATTAAATATACCTTGTGAATATTTGACAAATATTGCTAGATGATGGGTGCTGTTGAAATTGAGGGAATGAGCAAAGAAGAGCTAGGCTAGACTAGACACACTCTTTGATCACAAGGATGTAAGTATACTTTTTTTAGCCTCGTAGAATCTATGTATGAGGTATATAAAACAAATATTGACTGCTCTAGATTCAGGAAATCTTCAGCCCTCAGGAAGGTAGGCTACAGTTTCCACATCACCTCGGGGCAATAGATTTCACCATTCCCCTCATGAGCAGTCAATATTTGTATACTGTTGTTGTTATTATTAATCTGGTTTTGTCATTATCATTAAAGAAAAACCTAGTCATATTTTTCCCCTTTATTCATAGAAACCTACAGAGGCAATTCCACACAAAAGTAAACCTTACACCTAAATTTTAAAACTAGTTGCATTATAACAAATTTGGTATCAAATTAAGAAGAAAATCTAAAGTTTCAGGAAATAAGGTTTTTTTTTTTAATTTTCAACCGGTCACATTTTTAGTTAAAAAAATGTAAATTTTGGTAATTTTATGGAGGCTGATTTAGGGTTTTAAAGTATAGTTTTTACCAATTTCTTTAATAGCTTTGTGAACAATTAGCATCTAAATATAACATTTTATAATTTTAAAAAATGTTTCCGTACTTTGTTATGCTTTAGTGATTCAACGATATACCAGTATAAAAAGTGTCAAGAAGTTACCATAAAAGTACAATTTTTAAAAATTTTTCAAAAAGTACTAGAAAGAAAATTTTTAAAATAAATAATTAAATCATGAAAATACGGCTGAAATATATGCACATAAATTTTTTTTAAAAATCATATTAAGAAAAAAATTATGGCTGCTTTAAATTTGTCACAAAGTTACTTTTTTGGTAACTTCGTGACGGTAACAGCGTGACATCCTATTCTTTTGTACAGAAATTTCTAATTTGGTTTGGGTGTGGTGTATGTTTGAGTAAATTTAGAAAAAAACTGTAAGGCTGAGGCTGGTCTAATTATTATGCAAATAAGCAGTATTATAAGTAAGCTTGAGTTTAATTTAATAAAGTGTGAGCTGGGCTTTTTTAGAGACAGTGATTAGTCCACATCTACAGAGTACTCTTGCCTGTAAAGTGGACATTGGGCTCATGACCAGGTGACACTGTTTACTGCTTGTGCTCGTATTAACACCGAATGTGTCAGATCATTTGTTATTGTGAGTGTAGTATAGTGAAAAACAGGGCCCCCGTGACCATTTTCCGGGGACCAAGGTTTCTCTGCTGATTCGGCATCACTAGGGTATAAATAAAAAAATGAGCGGGGGTGAGCCTCCTGAAAAAGGGCGGAACATGTTTTTTG